CTTTGATATGAATTGTCAATATGAATAGGAAATTCAAAATCTAATCGCACGTGAAAATAAGGTGAGAAACTCGAGGATGGTTTCTGAGAAAAGAGGGTGGTTTCTCCGAAAAGAGGATGGTTTCTCAGAAAACACAAACGAGGAATTACGTAATTGCATTTGTCGAGTTACCCCTAACAACCTTCGTTCCGAAACAGAGTACAGGGGCGCAGTGGCTGGGGGGGCAGGGGGGGCAGCCGCCCCCCCTGGCAAAAATTTTGTCGGATTGTCGGAAAATCCAACGTTTGTCGGAAAATTTGAAATATTAGACAAAATGTAAGGTTTTCATCGATCCTGTCTAAAAGGTCGCATATTTTTTTAAACCTGTCGTAAAATAGTGCATGATCAACCCTTCTTACTTATTTTCATTAGAGTATTTTTCGGAATCATCGCATTGCTGAAATTTGTAAAGGAAATTAACGCTCTGGTCTCAGTTATTTTATAAACTCCCATTTCCGACAGTTAAAATTCAACTCAGTTCATTTCGAAATGAATTCGCTGGTTTTGTAGAAGACGCAAAAAGTTATTATTTTCGCCATGACTTAGAAGAGGAAAATTTTGTCGAGCGACGAATACGCAGAAAGAAAAAGATGCCAGGGGAAAATTGCATAGATGATTTAGAGGGAAATAGGGAATCCGTATATCATCGTGATAGTAGATACAGCTATCAGCTCAATGAATACAAGATTCACGTCTCATAAGGCAATTTTGACAGATTTTGCCTTACTCAACCCTGAATGTTTTCAAAAAACAATTGAAAGGCAGTTCTGTACAGTGTAATTCAAAATTAGGAGATGAGTACAGCTCTTTCGCCAATAATTACCATAAATTTTGGAAAGTTAGAGAAAAGAGCAACCCTCTCCCGGCTGCAGGAGAAAGAGAAAACTTTTCAGTTCCATTCAGTTCTTCAGTTGATGATAAGTATAACCTGCAAAGTGCCTTTCCACAGCTGGTCCTTCTTTACAAGGTTCTCGTCACTTTGCCAATAGGTTCAACAAACTATGAAAGAGCTTTTTCAAAGCTGAGGATTGTAAAAAAATCGGCTACGGTCAACGATCGGACAAGACCGCCTTTCCTCTCTGATGACCAATCAACGTCGAAAGTGATATTTTACAGTCGATAGACTATGGTGACATCGTCGATTTGTATGCTGCCACACCTCTTTTGAGAAAGATGCTGCTTGAGTAACAGTTTATATAAATTCAGTTAAAAGAAAACTATTCTTTTGGACGCGTTATATCTATTTAAGGTTTAGCATAAATAAATGCAAAGTAATTATGATGCGACTTAAAACTTGCCAAAAACTTTTTGCTATAAACAGCTATAAACACTAACTTGACAGTTTATTGTCTAGTATAGCGAGAAGACTTGTAGGGTGTAAATTTATAACTAGTTGCAGTTTTGTTCATAGCGATTTATATTTGGTAAGTTTTGTTAGAATAAAGGCTATTGTTGAACTTGAAGGTGTATAACGAACGATCCATTCGTTAACGATTTCCAGATCCATTCGTGATATTGTAGTATCAAGTGTTGCAGTATATGCAGCAAGGGTAATCTTCAAGGAATGTATTGAGAAAAAATTTGTCGGAAAAATCATAGTTTTATCGGAAAATTTTCAGCTTTGCCCCCCCAAAAAGTTAACTCCCACTGCGCCCCTGACAGAGTATATAAAAAGCTAATCTGTGGTTTAGACACAGTGGTTTAGTTTTCATCGAAGCAGAATCAGACGAGTCGAAAGAATCAGGCCAACGGGTTAGTTGCAATTATGACAGTAGACTTTTAACTTTGTGTCATTTGGAGTTGCTTTTTTATCAAAATAACCTTAATCAAATCATACTTCAAAATCTAGCCTGCGACACTGACCATAACAAGACAGGAACCGTACTATTCATATTCCTGTCTTCGCATGGTAAGTGACGCGGGCTAACTTCATAGAAAATATGAGAAAAATGCCTAAATGAACTTTATAGAAATGAGAATATGGTTCTATTTAATACAGTCGTTTTACCAAAGTTAAAAAGGATGTAATTCCGGATTTGTCCATGGCTTATTTTTGCAACAAAATATGTAGTACGTAGTACGGATGGCAATGTTGGAAAGTTTAGAAATGAGATACCGTTTTTGTTGCTGATCGATGGAGAGAGAGTCACACATTTTGAAGAATGAATTGCAGGAATTGCCGAAGATGCCGAGAGAGCTCATAGAAAGAATAACAAAGGAGACATATTTGAACTGCCGCTGTAAACCAGATAAAAGAGGAGCATACTTGCTGTGTTTTCTTGTAGCATTTGTGTTAAGATTGGATTCGAAGCTAACAGTTAGCTCTAAAATGTAGAGGTAATTGTTGTTAGTCCTCAAGAGAAGATCAAGGCGAAGGTTTTTTCCAGTTATGATTGATGGTGACAAAAGCCAGGTATATCAGCGTAGATGGTAGATTCATTGACAGCTTTTAGTGACGTAGCTAGAAATTTTAGGATAGAGTTATGTCGCCAGGTGTATCGGCCTTGTTCCAGATATGTTTTGCAGCCAGGAACAACGTGAAGGAGGGTTATGGCAGAAAACAGAAAGAACAGTCTGGCTCAAGTTCCATTTTTTCAGGTTTCTGTGTGGCAAGGGTATTGTTCAAGTATGGTGAAATTGAAAATATTCTGAGGCATGCTACTTTGCACCTTGGACCAAAGTTTGTTTATTTGTGGAAGATTCTGGTTAAGGAGATGTGATAATAAAGATCCTTTGGAGGTTAGGATGTTTTGCAGACGATCTTTATGCTCATGCTTGGCAGCCTTTAATGCTTCTTTGGTGTTCCTATATATATCATATTGTATATTTGTGCTACTGCTGGTATTTTTCCATAAAGAGCGAATGTTATCGTTTGGTGAAGATTTCAATGCGTTGCGTAAAACTGTTTGACACTGTAGGAATTTGGTGGATGGTAAAGTTAGGCTGAGTCCAAACTGGTTTTTAGAAAGAATAATGCTACTCAAGGTAGCACTTATTGGGAGGTCGAGCCACTGGCGGATGTATTTGAATACGAGGTTGTCAAGATTCTCGACAACCCACGTCTTTGAAAGATCTGCTACAGTAAGGTTCCAGGAGATTTTAGAAAGAACAAAGTTGTGATAAAGACGCAGCTTATTTTTTGCATGAAGAGGCTGGGAATAGATTTGTTTAAGCATGTTGGACAGTGATGATAAAAGGTCAGATTTATGTTCTTGATTTGTCATTCCAAAGTCAAAAAGAATAATAATAATAATAATATATTTCGCCAAATCTCCGTTTCGGAGCAGTTACTATAGGACAAACACAGAATTGCCAGAAAAGACGTCATGTGCAAGTGGTGCACCCGAGGTCATCCATGCGATCTAAAAAAGATCCCTTTCCTCCCGCTTATATGTGAACCTGTCATACCCTTTTCACTTAGATTTAATACTAAATGACAATAAACTTTATACAAAAAACAATAAGAGCAGAAGTTATACACCCCCCCCCCCCTTAGCGACGGCCCTGTCCATAATTCATCGAGGTCTAGATTTTGTTTCAATTTAGCTAGAAAGCCAGGCCAAAAATACAAAGAGGGCAAGAAAGATATTGAATATATATAAGAGTATATTATTGAATATACAATGTCAATCAAGAAGTGGCGTGTCTTCTATTCTATTGATATTGTTTGATATTGATAATGTACTCTTCTAATAGGACTGTATCGTTTGATATTGATAATGTAGTCTTTTAATAGGACTGTATCGTTTGATATTGATAATGTAGTCTTTTAATAGGACTGTATCGTTTGATATTGATAATGTAGTCTTTTAATAGGACTGTATCGTTTGATATTGATAATGTAGTCTTTTAATAGGACTGTATCGTTTGATATTGATAATGTAGTCTTTTAATAGGAATCGGAATCAACCCAAGCCTGGTGTTTAACCACAGTACTTGACTTTAGTGCAGAAGGCACTTGTTGGAGGAGATGAGACTAGATTTCTATTTTGGGGCTATGGTTCTATCCATTTGTCTCAATCAATGATAAAGTTCATCATATACACATCAATGCGCATTAGGGCATTAATACTTTTGGAGAAAAATTTAGATCTTTTTATGCTTCGCAGCATTTAATCAAAACTATCATTTAAGTTTTATTCTCGCTTTTCACATGAAGCCCTTTTTACTAAATTTCTTTTGTATTTTGATTCCAAACTGGCTTATTCCCGTAAGTGTCACGGATGCTCCTACCATAGCGCGATGTGAAAAGAACGTTATCAATTATTACGCGCAAGTGCATGCGATGCAAAATTAAAAAATCAAGCGGGCCTACAGACAATGCAGGTTCGTCTTCCCGTTGACTATGGTCTCCCCAAAAAGCATTAACTTGCAACTTTATGGTCGTACTTGATACATGGATTAAACAAAATTTATGTGAGTTTTCACTGCAAATGAATTGAGCCGGCGTCTAAGTCTTGATTGCTGGTAGCGATAAAAGTATACAAAATTGATAAAGTTTCTTAGGGATTCTGTCTTTAGTAGCAGGGACGCCGGAACGACCAAGGGACAAGGGGGGGGGGCGTGCTTGAGTAAAAGGGCATTTGAAGAAATTATTTCCCAACTATCAACAATTCTTTCGTAGCTGTCATTTTGTTTCGATCTTCTGTCGGTATCTTAAAAATAGGCTAAATTTTGGCATAAGAAATTTCTTCACAAGTTTCGGGAAATATTGTCATAAATAAGGCACTACAGTCAGGATTTCATATGAATCTCAAGGATTTCCTACAAAAGGCCGGTGTCAAGGGCACTTCTATGAAAAGGGCACTTTAGCCCCCCTTGCCCCTCCTATTAAAAAGCAACAGGGGTGGTTCAGCCTCCGCGCCCCCCTCTCCGGCGTCCCTGTTTAGTAGCACAAGTTCTTTTAATTTAGCGAACTTCTACCTCTAGCCCGGCAGGCTCAGTTAGCTGGTCAAACATATATCATGTGAGCTCTGAAAACTCCGAGAAAGGGTGGTCTGAAAGCTAGAATTCTTGGACCTAGAATCTTGATAGTAGAGTTGGTTTTTTACTCAGTCCACAAAAGGAACAACAAAAAGTGTAGGAATTTACTGACATGAGGTTACAGACAATTTTTTGGTAAGCCCAGACCTGTCAAGTTTCGGTTTTGAAAATGAGTGAGATTTTTTAAAAGGAGGGGAAAATGTTTGGTCTAGAACGAATGCCGACTGCCACACAACCAATAGTAGGACCCCAGGGTGTTGCCCAAGAAAATTTTCTTTTACCACGCCCTCTAGTTCTTCGGAAACGCCTTTTTTAGCAGGGACCGCACAGAAGTGGGTGGGGGTTGAGGGGCTTTGTATTTCCCCATTCTACTCAGTTTTTCTTGAGAAAGAATTTATAACAGTATATAATCATGAAACAGTTTAATCTGGTGCACTTGCACTGCGCAAATGATTGCAAAAATGTACAGCACTGTTGACAAGGAATGCAGAGGGAGGAATGCAGGCGTACAAGCAAGCAAAGCATCGTAGTGTAACTGCAACCCCAGATATTATTTTAGAGAAAAAGTTACTCCGCTCTGACCGCTCTGACCGCATCCAAGATTCAGATATTAGGGTCCAGTTTCTTCTTGCAGGACCACACATGATATACAGTGAACCAACTGACTGAGCCCATCGGGACCTCTAGGGTCCTTATAAAGTGATTCCTTATAAAAAGGGTGTACATTGAAGAGAAACCTTTTTATTAAAATACGCCTGAAAATATGTCAGCGTTTCTGCAAATTCATTTCTCGTTGCCAAATTTTGTTCCAGTGCAAAAATATGAACGCCTTTGTTCGACTTTGATCTGGATAAGAAGATTTCTTCCTTAAATTTTGTATAGTAAAGATATACCGTACCAGTGGTACATATCATGATTGGCAAGTATGTGAAAGGAATGACACGATCATACAAATGCAAGAGACAAGCACCCCAACATTATTGCAAAGATTAAAAGAAAATGCATTCATGATATCAAGATCAAATATCTGTAATTTCTTTATTTTCAGACCGAGAATATAATGGCTGAGCAGTGGTTGAAGAGATTATCTCTCAAAATTGCCAATAATTTTCTCAATGAAGAACTGAGTGATTTCGCTTTAATTGTAAACGAAGGAAAGTTCCCTGTCCACAAGTTCGTGTTGGCATCAGAAAGTCCCGTATTCAAGGCAATGTTATATGGTCCATTGGCTAAAAAGGAACAGCAGGAAGTTGAGATCGTGGATTGTGACAGTACAGAGGCATTGGAAGAATTTCTCAGGCTAATTTACAAAGGTGAAGCAAGCCTGACATGGGACAATGCACGTTGTGTTTCTTACCTGGTAGACAAATATATGATAGAATCAACGGGGAATGTCTTCCGAACACTGGTTGCGTCGAACATAGGCACATACAACAGCCTTGATTTTCTAGAAAAATCGCTACTCGATATTGGACACGACGATATGGTCGACGAGTGTTTAAAAATTGTCAGAAAAGACATAAGTGTGCTTGTACGAACTGAGAGATTTTTGGATTTACACCTTAAGTCACTCAAAGTGATTTTAGCCAGCAAGAGGCTCGATATCAGTGAGATTGATCTTTTCCACGCAGTTAATAAGTGGTGTTTGCACCAGATCAGTAAAGCAAGTTTGGAAGGGGAAACCAAGTCAAAAAAGGAAGTTCTTGGGGATGCATTATACCTCATTCGTTTTCCTACTATCAGCATGGACGATTTAACCAGGTTTTGCGTTACGTCGAAGCTAATAACAACAGATCACTTCTATGAATTGGCTCGCTTGAAAACTATGTCTTCTCAAATGCAACAGGCTGAACTTGACGAAATTCCTTTCCCGAAACATAGTCGAACAAGAGGCGTTCTCGCTATCAAGACAAAGTATACTCTTTCGAAAATTGAAGATTATCCTTTCTATTTTATATTTAAAGTTAACAAAAGAGTATACTTGAAAGGATTCATACCAAATGAAGGATGGAAGCCATCAGGCTCGAAACAGGTTGAAATTGGTGAAGTTGATGTCCCATTGACTGTTTCAGAAACTGATCCTTTAGTTGTGTTTTTCAAGGAACCCGTTCTTGTTGATCCAAGTTCAAGTTTAAAGCTTTCATTGCATTATAATAACCCAAAATCTACAGTACCAATCCAGAGTTCAAACTTTCCCAGGAATTCCCCCTCCCTTTTCGGGTGCCCTGTATACGGAAGATATACGACCTTCACCTGGCACGACTTTGAATTCGAGATCTGGAAAACCAGGGATTCTCAATCATCTCCAGTAAATACGTTCCTGTTTTCAATTTTCGATGGAAAGCCTATGATTAAATATTCGCCCGAACTGTGCAGCGAGGTTTTCCCGGTCAAGGAAGCAACATGCCAATTTTGACTTACATGGGGCTCTTCGACTTTTGAGTTGTTCATAAACCATTGCAAGACAGTTTTCGCAACACAGCTCTGCTATAAAATTTTGCATATATATTTACTCGATGTTGAATATTCAAGCACAATTTCGAACTTTCGCTTTAACTGCCTTAATAAATCATAGTCTATTCTCAGCTATATATGCTGTCCAGTGACCACAAAGAATATTACAATCCTAAATAACGAATATTACAATCCTAAGTAAAGAATATTACAATCCAGCACAACCAAGAAGGGTACCTTCAACATTATATACACTTTAAGCAGTATATTGTTATCAAGTAACTTTATTTGATAATTTGTAATATTCTTTGTAGTCACTGGACAGCATATATCAGTACCTTCATATTCATACCATCATTTTGATATTGATAATCTAGTCAAAGCTTCTTAACTAATTCAAAATAATAAAGAATTGATATTTACCGAATAGCTTGAATGAGTACGTCGTATTTTGTCAATGCTTTCTTGACAATAACTGGTCACTGACATCTCTTACGAACATTTGAGCATGAAACATTTTGAAAAGACCTGCTTAAGTCAACTGAACGTTGTTTGCAGTATTTTTGTTAAGTTTGAACAGCGGTCGATTTATGCAGATGTCGGATGGTTGCGATGCTGCGCAGCGTAACATCATCTAAAAGACAACTCAAAATGGCACTATTATTTGTGGAAATCACGGGGGTTCTCGGCTAAATTTTGGGTAGGGGTCTGCCACGAGCATGTTCAAAGTAGTACTGTCGGCTAGACTAATTTTTACGAAAATTGTTCCCTTGGCGAGACGAATTTCTACAAAATTGTTTCATTTACTAGTTTATTATCAACAAAAATGGGTTGTCAGTATTCTTATCTTTCAAGGCTTTATTAAGAAAAAAAACTGTCAAAGGACCAATATTGTCAAATATTGTACCCTTAGCTAGACCTTGACTGGGGCAAAATTGCAAAGAGATATACCCCGAGTAAGTCTGAAAAAGCATACCCTTGCTCGCGGCACATCCCCAGGTAACTTTACTATGGATGAACACCTCCTTTGATGTAAATAAACGATTGGTCCACAAAACACTATGCTTAGTGTAGTGGAATTAGATATAAAAACGGTCTAACCCGGATAAAAATAATATAAAGCTGTAATTTGGCACAGATGATCTATACTACTAAGTTGGAAATGACCAGAAAAAAAGCCCCATCAATTGGACATTGGGAGTTCCTTATTTGGGCAAAAACCATAATGGCGCACTGATCAGTAGTGGTTCAAAATTTTAATGTTGCTAAAAGCACATAGTATGTACATTTTTTGAAAGATAATTTCATGCTGAATAACTTTTATTTAACATACGTACCCTTAGAATTGGGCAAATTTAGTGGTGATTGGGCAAAAACAAAGTGGGACGAGTGAATATTGAAAAGCGCGCAGAAAAAATGGCTGATCCTCTTGCTGAATATTTTCACTTTGTTTCGCAAATTCTATCGATGCAAAATCATTAAGTGTGTGAATAAGATAAAGTATGATAATACCCACTCAGCCCGGGCTGACTCAACCCGGGCCCACTCAGCCGGGGCCCACTCAGCCCGGGCTGACTCAAGTGAAATTTTTTCACTGCAGCAGCAAATTCCGGTCAAATCTAAAGAAATATTTAAATATTCAAAACAAAATATTCAAAACTCACGACCGAACAGTCCAAACAACATGATTTTTTCATTATAAACTAATTTAAAGATGAAGATTTCAATTTTGACAGTTTTTCAACTTTTTTCATTGACCTCCATCTTAGTGATTTTTGTTACTAAGACGTAAAAAACACTGCCAAATTCAGTGCAAATTCAAAGTGGCTGCACAAAACTACAGCTTGATGCTGGGCCAGTAATATTCCCTTTATGCACTTCCTTACCAGAAAAAGAGATAACTTCCAAATTACGTATAATCCAAAAATTGCAAACTTTTCAATTGAGAAGGACTTGGAAATTGGAAAATCCTGAGACAAATATTTATACTTAAACGTGGTTCACCTTTTGCCGTGTTCTGCATTAAAAGACCTTCGTACCCGCAGTTATTACCAGCAAGAATATTTGTCTGCAAGGCACAGGGTAGATCCTTGCTTTTTTTCTCCAAATGAAGATGTCATCAGTGTTTGCGGAATAACAGAATTTAAGGGAAATTTGTCGTAGATTGCGGAAACCTGGCAATTTTTCAACGGAACGAGGGAGTTCTACACACTTGCCGGACGCAGATTTAATACACGGATTGCAGAAATTTCAAAATGTTTAGCGGGATTCTTAACCTGCTCCTTGATGGATAGGATTTCATCATCGCATGTTTCGATCTTGTTAATATATAAGTTGTTCATAAATAAACTTGTATACATTCAGAGGTGGCGCCAGAAATCTTCCGACAGAGAGGTTGGAGCTTCCAACAGGGGGCTAAATTGACTATAATATGCAGTTTTCGTACGTTATTCTGTCAAATTTGCTCCGAAAATAACCTAAAATTTTCTTCCTATAGGGGAGCTAGATGCTTCCGATGAAGGGACTGTAGCGCCCTAGCCCTCCCCTGGCACCACCACTGTATACATTCTATGGCCCAGTTGCCCCCTATTTGCTACATTTGGGCCATTTCGTCCGGTTTTGTCAATTATTTAGTAGGAGGAAATTTCTAGTGACAACACCTACCTTCACCTGTCTATTAGTTCCGAAAACTGAAAACACTGATGAATCATAAATTAAACTGTTATATTAATAATTGATATGCAAGCGATTGATGGGTCAGATTTGCTTAATGACCAAAACTGTTTTATGTTTGACAAGCATATTGATGATTATATTTCTGCTAACACGAAGATTGTAAAAACTCTTCCTGGCCATTGGCGTAGGTGAAAGAGGGGCTGAGAGGGCGGCAGCCTCATAATCAGGTAAAATTTATCGTTTTCCAGCCTACATTCGGACAGCTCAATCTGACCGAAGGAATAATGTTTGTCCTGATCCATACATATCCTCTTGAACGTTTAGCATCCGCTGAGGCCATGTCCCTGGCTGAATATTTTTCGAGTAGAATTTTACTGCATTGGCCATATCCTTTGATTTATCAGTTGCCTAGGATTGATCGTTTCTACCAACGTAGCTGTTAAGAAACTTTCTGAATAGTGAAAAAGTCTAGAGTTATCAGTACTATATCAAAGTGCAGTTTAACAAAAGCAAAACACATACTCACAAGTTTAACAAAATCATGAAAAGTCGCTGTAAGAAGCATGACCCCAGGGAAAGTGCCAATCAACGTCTGCTGAGACTGTTTCAAAATTTCAATCCTAATATTTTAGGCCCAACCCAACAAGATGCACATAAATTATGAATTTCCTAAGAATTATGATTAAACAAATGCTTGTTTACGGAAAACCTCAATTACAACCCGTACCAGAATTGGTGTGATGAATTGTACTAAAATCCCACGAACAAAAATGCATGGTCGCTTTCTCTTAGGAATTGTTGCACTCCACAATCACAGCAACAAGCATAACTTCAATGTTCAGAGACACAAAAATCGTGCATATTTATTTGATTTATCATTCTTTGCCATTGCCAGTACCATATTGCGAAGGAAGGGGGGCTGGCAGGCGTTCAACATACCAAGACCGAAGAGAAGAATTTGCGTTCACGTGTGAAGGAAATCAATTAGGTCATGTGATTGGTGACATGCAATTCAACTCATTCGAAGAAACAGACAGACAAGATAAGACACGACTCGCAAGATGAACGCTACACTAGAAATAATCTCACTCATGGAATATGTTGTTTTAATGTAAAGTTCGCAGTACCAAGGAGTCTTTGCATAAGTAAATAAATAGAACATTCGCAGTGTTTTTTCGCTTTTGTCTTTTTATACATTATTAACAAGGAACCGGGAACTTTTTTGGAGTTTCGTCTCTATTTTTCACTTGATCCCCACAACGTGCTTTTACCTTGGGGACTAGAGGGGGACAAAAGCCTCAGAAAGTCAAAGAAAATCAGATGCAGCATGTCAAATGCGCAGTGGTATGGGTTTGTACTGTATTTTGTTTTTGTTATTTGAATATATAGTATTCCTTTCAGGAGCAATGCCTTTTCTTTTGACATAGTAACAATTTCATTGACAGAGTAAGCTTGCTTTGCTCAAAGATAGAAGGCTTTAAGATTTACATTTCTGTGTACAGAAATAAAAACAGACGAAATTGAGATGAATTTCGGCAAACTAAATAAAAGTTAAATTTGCTGCGCATGCGTAGAAGAACTGTTCCCCGAGTAACGAAATACTCAACAGTCTTGAGTATGTTATAAAGTTTGTAAAATGGAAGTGCTTGTGTCCAGTAGCGTAGTCATGAAGGAAAGATTAGAGGGGCAGAGACGAGCCCGACAAGAGGGGGTTGGGGGTCTATCCCAGGGGAAATTTTTGTAGACAACACCCTTAAAACTTTGGGAAAACGCTGATATTAGTTGTGTTGTTTGTACGTGACAATGGTTAGATTACAACGCAATGACAGCTAATTGTAGCTTTTTGTGTTAAGCAAATTTCAATTCTACAACTGTCTTTTACCTCCACAATTTCTCTAATGTTTAATGTTCTGAACGTTTTATGTATCAGGCAAGGAAGCTCTACCTACAAAAACAGATTTTTCAAATTTGTAAACAAATATCTAAAAACAAGTAACAGTGATAAAAACTTCAAACTAAGTCCATTCTCCTAGGAAAAAAACCTTCAAAATCATTACAGTATCTAATTTTTAAAGTTTATCAAAATCTAAAGAGATTATTATCATAAGACTTGGCAGTCTCTTTCGACCCAATCAAAACGACCTATTTGATGCTTTTACTGTCCATTTGTTGAAACTGAGATGCACTCTTGATAGTTTGTGAAAAGCACAAGCCCCCTCTTATTTTGAACCTTAGTTTTTAAATCATTCTTAAGCAATATAATGTCTAAATTTGGAGAATCGAGAGATAAAGCTCAAATTCTTGCTACAATGTTTTTTATCATCAAATATATTCAGAAACGAAAAATACTAACACAATACAAGCTTCGGGTGTACACCTCGCACCTTTTGGTCAAATCTATTTGGTCAGATGAATAAAAGTCAAACTGTCGATGAAATTCGAGCCTGGCAATTATTCTCAAATTTATTGGTAGGACAATTTTTGTGTCTCAGTATTGTGTGAATGAAGTGTGTATTTTGTCGGGAATCTCCCATGAAAGGTAGCAAGAGCCCCCCCCCACCCCCTTCTGCAAACTAAGCGGGTATAAAATTTTTGCGACCACGCCCTTTAGATTGGCATAAAATACATTTTAGAGATTTTGTTGCAGTCACTTTCTTGCAATCAATTAAAAAATTTTATTTTTGTTTGAAATGTCACTTTTTGTCTGAGGTACTAATTTGTTGCTGATTTGCAACTGCCCCCTTGCCCCATTCGCTACTGCATGTGTCCTTCCGGGCCAACAGTATTGCATGTTAAAATGAAAACACGAACAGTTTTTGGTCGAACTTCGGGGTGGAATATGACTGTGGCACGGACATTGTGTGCTTCTAATTTATTACAAAATATAGATGATAAGGCTAACTCACTAATTTTGTTGCATGGAAAAATTAACAATTCAGAAAGGTCGGAGGTTTTTCTGATAACAGTGAGTCAAAAGTTGGACGTCACCGTTGCAAGTCTAAAGCCGAATGAGCCCTGAAGATTGAGAAAAATACACGGAAAGAAGAGAGAGGTTTCATATTTATACGTCTGTGACATGTATGAAACAGTTTAATATAAAACATACAATTATTATCAAAGATTTATGTTGGTTCTTGGGTAATATCATCAGGCAAGGTAGATTTCATGAGCGATTCTAGCTAGTATGGGGACTGGTGCAAGTTACGACTTAGAATCGACCGGACGTCAGAGGTGAACCGGAGAGCATCCAGAACCGGAAGTAAGTTCAGAAGGGCCTTGTCTGATGGATCTGCAAACCAGGAGACAATCGGTATGCCGTTGTCTAAAATCGAAATAGATATATTTGAGCAATATGATCCAGGCTTAATTTGTGTTGTCTCATCTTTAACAGTCCGGAAAAAGAAGTAGCAGACCTGTACGTAGAAAGCGGCGGGAGATAAAAGGTTTTCAGTATGCCAGGAGCAAGAAAATTCAGCGCATGGTTCTAGGCAACACTGAAGATTGGAAGTCGGAAGCCGCTATATCCAACCCCAAATCTCTTACCTGCGTGTAAAGCACCGGATTTCCGCGATTTTTTGCCGACTAGATCAATAGCGGCGCCAAGAAATTCAAAATGGGGGCTGTGGGGGAGGGGGAGAGCTGGGATTAAAAAACCAACTTTTGAAAAACGCACTAAAATGCTTCACGATACTTTATGCCCATGATTTTATAAGCTTTAAATACATTTTAGAATATTACTCACAGTAGTTTGCTTGCAATCGTTTAAAACATTTTGCTATTTTTTGGCATGCTTTTAGTGCGTTTGATTAATTCCAGTCTTACAATGAATTTCATTACTTTATGAGGCCCCATAGATCTCGGCTTATTCATTAAGCAATAAAAAGATTTGTCGCACTATTCTTTTCTTTTAGTTCTTTTCTTTTATTCTTTATATCTTTTTAAAAACAATTTTTTGCAAAAAGTGACGCCCTCCAGCCCCCCCCCCTATGGTTTGATAGCAATTTATATAAATTTGGGGCTTAGTGCTTAAACTTTGGGACAACTCATCTTCTGTAAAAATACTTCGGGAAAATTCTGCATCACAATGAAACTCCTGCATAACTGCAACACAGGCAAAAACCCATGCAACACACAAAAAAACTTTTAGCTACAAAAACAGCCCTGCCTATTTCAGTTAGATTTTCACTTCTAAATAAAACAAGATTTCTAAAATAGAAGGGCATCGACAAAGCTCGGGAAATCAACTCGAATCACATTTAATCACGATGAAGGAAATAAGGAACAAAGTATTTCTGAAAAGCACTTACGTTTGTTTTCCCTATAAGCTCCTGGTGAATTATCAATGATGAAGATACTCGAAAGGTCGGAAGAAATTATCCGTAAGTCTTTCGTAAAACCAAATATGTCCACTTTGCAGTGCTGAAAACAAATAATACGATCTAAAGGCGTGAAAATAAAAACCTTTGGCATGACCCTCTCACTAATTGAAACAATGCACAATTTAGGCTAAAATTTGGAATTCCTAGGATTTAACAGCAAGTAACCGAACACTGCCACGAGATACTGGTCCCTCTCGCTCAGTTTATATTTGAGTATTTGAGTTCAAGCAGCCGAGATATTTGCATACAATATTGAAATTTATCAAGAAATAAACGGGGAAGGAGAAACAATTCTGTAAAACTGCGAGGATTTTGCCCAACCAAGGTAAACACGTGGTTAATTCTGTGTTGCAAAATTAATTAGAATTTTTATCACCACAAAAAAATCTATCATCACTAGAAGCAAAGTAGCCTTTTTTCACTGTGTTCAACCCACTAAAAACTGCCACTTTTCATCAACAATATGGCAGAATGAATATATGACTGGCTGAAGCGCTACAAATTTGTCTTTTTTAACTCGAGACAGTTTGCTGTCTTATTTACAATAAATTGTTCCATTATGGATAAAATTATATTCTTTTATCCTTATCATCGTGTTACGTTATTCCCGAAGGATGACTTGAAATAATCCCAAAATATTGCTTCATCCTGCTAATCTTTCTTGTCTTCGCCAAAGCAGAGATTACAAGGCATTTGCGCGGTGTAAGACCAAGAAAGGCCCACAGCTCAGTTACTATTTTAACAACTTCAAAAGATCATAACCTTTATTCCTTAAAATTATCGTCTCAGGGTCTGTTTTATCCTACCTCTCAGCCCATAAACTGGCAGGTGGGACGAAATTATAGAATGTTTACAGGCAGATTCTATCCCAGCTTCTAGCTGCATAAGAAGAGAAAAATCCCACCTTCCAGCTGAAAATTTCATCCCACCTTCCAGCTTTATCCCACCTTCCAGCATTTATTTTGAAGAAATTCATCCCACCCAAGTGAGATCCCAACTCTCAAGCAGTGGGATCTCATTTAAACGGCCTTGCTCATTTTCCATCTAAACGCAAGAAGAGAAATACAAAGGATTCTGCAGGAGAGTGGGATCTCACCTCTCAGTTCACAGGCAAAAAGACGGGATGATTTTCTCCATATAAAAAGGCCCTTTTCCTTAACTGCCAAACAGAAGAAAAAGTCAATTTGACTAATGGAAAGTAAGCGTCAAGAGTAGTCCAAAACTAACCTGGCGGTAATATCTCTTTTTAAGAACTCCTTTGTTGCGATCTAATTGGTCAGTGACTGCAGCTCCGTAAACCTAAAAATGATTAGATTGCACGTTCTATATTGCCAAGGCATAAAATTATGCAAAGAATGTTCATCACAGGCCTGGTTCTATGGCCTACATTCTATGGAACAAATATATGGTCTGTATACCCCTGTAAGGAATTTTTAGAAAACTGCATACCCATATGCCAGAAATCTTGTGTCAGAAATCGTGAGTCAGAAATCGAGACCCTATTTACAAAAGCTTACGTTTCCAACTACACCTGGGGTTTAGAGCTAGGGGAGCCGTCCTTGTTCTTCTCATAGCATTGCACCCTTGAACGACACCCCTTTCCCAATCGACCCTGAGAATTAAGGAATTCAACTGTATTCGAAATGATGCTAGACCGTGGTCCAACGTAGCTAGTCGAACATTAACAGAAACTGAAATTCAGGCAGTTGTCAGTTACTTTTCGCGCGAAACAAATGCATTAATTCGAACAAGATTTTCAAAGCTGACCAAATTTTGGCGAGGTCTTTTCATAGACTTCGTGGGATTTAACACACAAAAACCTTTAGCTGCTTTCTCTGAGAAAAGTTATTTCGTAATTTTTTTACTCTGTTGCGATCTATCTTCCGAAGGTATTTTTGGGACACTGAGAAGCGATACTTATCGAGCAGTATCCTGTTTCTTCTTCTTCCTCCGCGTTCACTTAGTGACAAGACTTTCTGGCAGTAGGATGAGCTACGTCACTATTCGCTACGTAAAATTCACATCAATTACGAACAATGAATGACGTAGCAATTCGTAGCATTCATCACATACCTCCATGCTTGCTGTAAAAACCGCCAGATCGTACCATTGGCTTACCTAGATAAACACATCAATCAAAATTAAGTTTCATGGAAAAGAAAATGCCTTCATATAAGTAAATCAAATTTCTCTGGAAACAAATTTATCTACGCCTTCGAAAAAAGGTAACAGTTGAATTATTTGTACCAATATTTGTACCACCAAAAAATCTTGCTTATGCTTTAGCCAAAATCACTTACGGTAATAAGTTGAAGAAGCCCAATAGGCCACGAAACATATCAAAAAAGTGATCTAAGTTTTGAGATACTTGAGATACATGCAGAATATTGTGACGCAAAAATTGGTTCAAACTGGACTGGCAACAACCTCTTATACTTATTTATATGAAACCACATACAGGTGCTCTAATGCGCAAAATTTGGTTAAGAAGGTGTAATACATTGGCAACTACTTCAAAATCTGTCATCATAATTTGGAGAGGCCCTTTATAAAAGGGAGGCTTATTCAAAATTTTATGCTAAAGATTTGAGGCATATTTAAGAGGGGGGAGTGTATTTAGCTGAATTTCGACTATTTCAATCATAGGTGTTAAGGAATTACATCATTGAAACCAGACTTTCTACATTTGCACCACACTTGTAACAGAGATGCATGGCATCCGACACCAATTCATTAAGGAACTTAAACCATGGAAAAGGACACTATTTGCAAGACAACAAGCAAGAATGATAAAAAAAATAAAAACAATACTAACAACACTTAGAAAGAAGTCAGCATGCGGTCTCTTATGTACATGGAATCTGACTGGGTGCCTGTCTATTGTCACCTACAGAATATAAGTGAATTATATTAGAACAAGATATTAGAATACAGTTCAAAAAAATAAATTGCTATTGACAAAAACATATTTAGAGCTTGCTAGAATGTTATGGAGAAATGCTGATATAGCTATAAATAGAACCAGAAAATAATGTTTTTTATTTTGTTTGTTTATTTGTGACATGGGTGAACTGAGCAGAGTTTGTATACCTTAATCCCAAAGTTCGTCCAATCTTTTATTACAAAAAGAAAATGCTTGTTCATAAAAAAGACAGTTTGGCAACAGAGACCACATAAATGGGGGGAGCTACAAGGGCTTTAGCCCCCCCCCCAAACAAAAAAATTCCAAAATATACTTTAGACCAAACAAAAAAGGCCTTGCTCTTGGTTCTTAGCATGTTAAGCCCCCCAAAACGCTTCAGCCCCCCTTAATCTATAATATACAGTCCTTGTTTGGCAATTCAATGTATTTTTACATTGCTGAGCATTTGTTTATCAAAGCTGAAGCAAATAATGAAACAAAACAAAGAATGTTTAATTCTTGGAAAAGGCCATCAGTAATGTTACCATTTCATATCAATATTTGAAATTGCAAAAAAAATTAAAATATGCCTGAGAGGCTTCAGGAACAATTTTAATATGAAAACCAATGATGGGGTCTATCTAGTATATTTAAATGTTTATTCTCATTGGTACAAATTTTCGTATTGATAGCATTCTGTACTCCTGATTCTTATTTTGATCAGGTTATACCCCCTACAAAATTTCTGCTTTATGAATGATTCTGCAATGTTAATTCTACAATACTTGGAAATTTTGTAGGGGGTATAATCTGATCAAAATAGGAATCAAGAGTAGTAGCTATTTTTCAGAAAGGTGTACTTGAATCCAGTCAATGCTCTGAATCTCAAAATTGTTATAAAATATGAGAGCTAGCAGAATATTTGATTTGATTCAAATTCTGCTATATGATCTCAAATAATGAATTATAAATAAATCAGTTTCAGAACAGAACAATGACATGATTAAAACAGCAAATTGAAGCAGACTCCTTTTTCTTTAGGATGATAATTTTTGTACAGACCCGTTTTAGAATTTAAAGTCTAGATTTGGATTTAAACTTTTCTCAAAGATGATTTATAAGTTATAAAATAAAGCTCTTTACTAAAATGGCACATCAGTCAGTCATCATGAGAACCGTTTTTTCTTTGATTGTCAGATTGGGCTAGTTCAGCTTCATTAAGCTTCATTTGATCATGATTATCTCTACCAAGTGAGACCCCCTTTATGTGAGAAATTTCAGATTTGATTGTGTGCGGTCTAAGGCCTTGAATTGCACACACAAGAAAGAGAGGAATGAAACAGTTTCAACTTTTTGTGGGGAGAAAATTAGACAAAAAAGATGTGACAAAAGTCTAACCTTCACTGTAAAATCTGCAGGCATTGAGGGTTTTACAGTTGGCTTTGCTAATCTATAGCACAAACAAAGGTGGGTTAACAAAAATAGCACAAAACAGAGTTAAATGAATAAGGAGAAGTTTGGATTTAGCTCTATACAGTAAGTACTCGCATATGAGAAACCACTTCTTGAAGCTGTGGCCTCAGTAATTTTCTTATTAACATCATCTTTTCATCACCAGGGTCCCATTTCTTATCACTAGGTACTGTCAAGTCAAATCAAGTCAAGCTACATGACAGTACCTTACATGGATGTGAATTCAGTAGAAGAGGTAGTAGTAGTGTATTATACCTAATCTACAGTATAATTTTCCATATCAATACAATAAACACACTACAATAAACAGAAAACACTGCAGGTTTTATTTAAAAGTAAGAAACATTTTAATTTTAGGCCTAAAATTTATAAAATGAGCCCCTTTGAAGAAAATGAGGCCTGTTTCTTATACAAGGGGGTTTCCTATATGCGGGTACTCGCTGTATTTTCCTTGGGACCTGATAGGACTTCTTTATTGTTGATAAAGTCTGAAAGGCTATTACTGTCATAAGCCTCTGTAATTTCTTTAAAAACAGCATGGCTGATGGTGTGATGTTATGATGAAAAGATCAGAAATATTTTAAGGGCTTGGACAATTTCTCCACCATGTCCATTACCAACACACAAAGTTCAAGTTTGTTTAAATTGAAAATCAAGAGCTTTATAAATCTAAAATGCATCTTTATTACAAAAAGTGTGACGCCACATTCTAGTGGGATCCATGCCTCATTTTACGAGGAAGTCTAAAATTATATACATCACAATGTAAAAAATTTAAATACAAAGAGAATTTCAAGCTCTCTTCAAACCAAAATGAGCTGAAATCCTTAGATTTCATCATTTTCCTTGCAGATAAAATGACTCACCCATCTGTATGGGAATGCACAAGAGTCTCATCAAGATCTAGCACCATAATTTTTCTTTTCACTAAACCTATACAGATAAAAACAGATAGCATTCAGTGAGGAATTATCAATTCATATCAAAACATAATTGTGCTTAGCTAGTTTTGAGATATGAAACACCACTTACAAAGGCAAAGCTTTCAAGTGGTAGAGGATTCTGATAAGAAATGATTATATCTGCTGAAATATTTTATGACAATGAAGTCCAAGTACTAAGTACATAATTCCTCTATAGTTTCTTTGGGGCTTTCAGTTTACTTGCTATATAAATTCTTTGGATCATATTCAGTGGCGCACTTGTAATAAGATACAATAAATTCAATAAACTTCTCATGAATTAATCATTAACATTGAAGAACCCAAATGCAAAGATTTCAAATAACCTAAAGTTGAGTTGGATTGTTGTTTTTTGACCCTGACCCTTGAAAGAATACAAAATAAACATATTAAAAAAACGCATAGAGATAAATACTACATACTTAAGTAGACCTCACAAAAGCGTTTGACACAGTTAGTAGAGATGGTTAATAGAAGATTCTAGAAAATTTTTTGGCTGTCCACCCAAGTTTATTACCATTGTTTGTCAGTTTCATGATGGTATGATGGTGAGAGTCATGGACAATGGACAAGAATCTAGAACTTTCCAAGTCACCAATGGTATCAAACAAGGCTGCGTACTGGCGCCCATGCTTTTCAGCATCATGTTCACAGCCTTGTTCTCAGACCCCTTTCGCAGCATTCAGTCTGGCATCCAGATGCAGTACAAAACTGATGGCAAGCTCTTCAACCTACACTGCTTGCAAGCTATAACAAACGTCAAGGTTTCAGTTCTTCAAAATTTCCTGTTTGCTGATGACTGTGCCCTGAATGCATCGCCAGAGTATGACATGCAAATAAACATGAACCAACTCAGCAGAGCATGCGGCAACTTTGGCTTAACAATAAGCACCAAGAAAACCAAAGTTATGTACCAACCTGCACCTGGAAAACTTTACAGGCCATCACAGATTGTAAATGACCAATCTTTACAAGCCATCACAAGGTTTACATACCTTGACAGCACACTGTCAAACGCCGTCAATATTGATGACGAAATCAACAACAGGCTTGTCAAGGCTAGCGCTGCCTTTGGGAGGCTTATGAAAAATGTATGGCAAAGACGCGGCATCAGCACAAAGAGAGAGCTGAAGGTCTATCGTGCTGTCATCCTAACCACACTCATGTACGGCAGTGAGACATGGGCTGTTAATAAAATACACGCAAACAAGCTTCAACACTTCCAAACAAAGCACCTACGCCAAATAATGGGCATTAAATGGCAGGTTAGGGTGCCAGACAATGAAGTTCTACAGAGAGCTGAAATGTTCAGCACCTATGTTCTACTCTAAAAGAACCAAGTAAGACTGGCCCAACACATTTTCTGCATGGAAGATAGCAACTGCCAAAGTGACTGAACTGGCAAATGGCAAACGATCTGCTGAGGTTCAAAACAGTTTTAAGAATTTGCTTGCTGGTCTCAACGTCAACCCAGATACCTGCTGTGAGTGGCACAAAGCCTGAACAAAGGTGCCCTGGTGAGCAACAGGACTAAACTCACAAATGCACAAAAAAGCGTGCTGCCGGCAAAAACAGGATTCTTTTCCGACCCTGAAATCAGCCTACATGTCTGCACCACCAGCAGCAATGCCTTCCATGACTGCATAGAGCTGGTCGGTCACATCCGCTCCTACCATGGCTGAGGTCATAATCGATCTTCAATGGGCAAGCAACACATACTTAAGTGCTATTTCAACTTTTTTTGTCCTGTGTTTTAATCTTTAGGTCATGTACCAAGGTTGCATTTATTACTTAGATTTAGAACTAAGTAATGAATTGTGTTAAAATAATTTTATGTTAATTTGCTATAATTATGTTACATTAGACAATGCTTTCATTGGGGCGCATGTGATAGCAAGGCATGAGCCCCATGTTTCCTTCAAGTGCGATTAGCAGTGCGCCCAGTGACAAATATTTCTCTTGAAAAGAGTGATTACTGGATGCTGGTAGGTCAATCCAGTTGAGACACTTCTTTTCTTAACTATTTTTGTCTGTTTTCAAATTCTTTGTTTGAGCTCTTTTATGAAACTGAAGACTCTGTTACTTCACTTTTCTCTTTAAAACAATTCATTTCAAAATGACTCTGTTTTCCAAGGAATTTGTTTTGGCTGTTCCCATGATTCCTTTTCAAACAACTCTGTTTTGATTGATAACTTTAAATATCGTTATCAAATGTCTCCGTTTTCAGGCATATCAACGGTCTAATTCAGCCTGTGTAATGGGAACAGAGCCTGATTTTTAATGGGCTAACACATTATTAATTGCACATGCTATTTGCTGGTCAAACAGGGCTGCTTTTTGCTTTAATTTGCTTCAGCTAATTTTATCTTTTTTCTTCTGAACATAGCTGAACAGACTTTGTCACATTTCTAAAGTCACTGTAACCTCTCTATGTCATACAATGCCCTGGAGGATAAGTTTACCGTTTTTGGAAATCATTCTCTTTGGAATAAAGATTGATGGGAAGGTATCATTGAGAGAGCTAGGGATAAATGCCTTAAATTGAAACGGAGAATGAAAATAAATCATCAAAAAAGGACCGTCAGAGTCAGACGATGATTATAAGATCTAGAAACATGGCCACGTTGTAGAAAACATGAACATAACTATACAATAACCATTTATTTCACTATAAAAGTTTTGTTACATTTAGTGTTTCCATAGAAAAAACTTTCTTGTTCAGTGTTATCAAATAAATTTGATCAGCGGGCCCCACTCTTATCATGTGAGTGTTTGGTGACTGCGCAAATTTTTGAACATGAAAGCCCTGATTTTATATTTATTGAACAATTTTTTTATTTCTTTTATTGTGAGCCATAATAATATGGTCAATAATACAGCAACCATATCATTGTTTTGTTGGTTTGTTTCTGTTAGGGAACTCGGTTGGTGTGGTGCTTTCTACCTCTAGTCAAGTAATAAATTTGTCAAAAACAAATACTTCATTAATTTGATATTAAGCAATGATATATAATTATTTTGAGGCACATTTTGCTGTGAATTTTAATCAAGAGCTGCTTCCATTTTATATCCAGAGCCTGTCAAGCTTTCCTGCTACCTTGAGGCTGAGGGTGATAATCTAAAGTAGATGGCAAAATTTTAAGCCAAATATTGCTGATCCCAAGCTGGGTGATATTGTTGTTGGTTGAAGTTATGTATTTTGACACTTCAGTAGTTTTTTGAAAAATTATGAGTTTTTACACTCCGCTTTTCAAACTCAGTTTCTCTGCATGGTTTTGTGAGTACAGCTTATAATAAAAGACAGCATCATTTTTTATGAACCCCTTTTTCTACAACATATGATTTATAAACGAGGCAAATTATCTGCAAATACGAATTTTATTGTTTTGGCCTTCAAAATACTTTACAGTCTAAGGGTGCCTTGGGGCCAAGAAGAAAACAAAACAAAAAAACAACAAATAAGAACAATTAATATAAAACTTACTTAGTCTTTGTATAGACAGAGGTGACAGCTCATAAATGTCATATTTGATAGCTTGATGTTGTATAAGCTACGGGAAATAAAGATCGCAGCATGATAAGAACAAATATTTTCAATGCCAACAGAAAAACAATTCTGATACTAATCTATTTATCTCACATATCCAGAATAATATATTGCAACACAAACCCTTTTTTAGGTCATATGAAGAAATGGTTGACAAAACAATGCACGTTCTAAAAACTATTTAAATAGGCCTATAATAATATTTACATCGTATATAATAAAACTTCAGGATATCAAGATATTGTCAATATTTATTCTAACACAATGCAAAAGATTATGCACCATTTTAACAATAAATAAATCAGCTAACAAAACAACTAGGTAATGCATCTCTCATGTGATCCAGACTGTTATTTATAATGTGCTGCTCTGATTTAGGCGCAAAAAAGAATAAGTAGTCGCGACGGTGTTATGTGGTGAACAAAGAATTTGCGTTGTATTGCTAAGGCCCTAATGATATATTCGCGCAAATAAATATGTTTACATTGCGAGATGACATAAAAATTGCTGTTTAAAAACATGCATACCGTTTTTGCATTTTTCCGTGCAAGATGATCGAATAGCGTCCATAATTTCGAGAGGAAAACTGAAATAGCTTTGATGCAAACGATAACTCTGAGTTTCTTGAAAACAAACATCAAGAATCGAGCAACCATATTTTACCATATGACCCACTTATACCAAACTGTTTGTCTGAAAATTCCTTCGTTAACAGTAATGACGTCTTTCACAATGTTTTCCGAAGAGTGAAGCGGAATACGGGAAGTGTTTTATCACTATATCAGCAACACACTGCCGCCATTTTTAAAAAACCCTTTCCGTCAGCCCCAATGTATGCTGGGAGCCATAAACCTCTCATTCATTAATTCAATTATGTAACCTCGTATCAGCTGAACTGAAAATTTTGGCGTCAATGTCCACAGCAATGGCGAAAGAAGATAAAGAGACAGAAGAGCCAATCTTCCACAGAGGACAGCCTCTTCAAGGGGAATCTGTAAAGGAAGAGTCTCAGTGGAGTGAGAGATGCTATGGACTTTGGCTGCGAGATGAAAAAGAATATGGAGGGACAGCTGAGCCAGTTTGTTTAGGAATCAACATTGTCCATATCACAAAGGTATAAAACAATTATTGCCCAGCATACCTCTGTAATGGAAGGTTTAAGTACAAACCAGTTTCCCAGTTTCCAGATTAATCTCAAGTGGTAAATTTCAGAAATCCAGGTGCAGGTTCGTTCACAGACAATGTAAACTTTTAGGAAAAACGGTGTATGGTAAACCCACTGCCCCTCTGAAATGTAAAACTTATTAAGATACATCAGACAGATACAAAACTCTAGCTTGATCATATGTTAAGTTCGTGATCCATCAGCGAAGAATGAAACTTTGCATTTTTGTCGAGTAGCAATTCAAGACCATAAACAAGAAAGGGATGGTTATGAAAGTTGTGACCCCTGGTGTCACAAATAATCTGCCCAGCTTTTATGTGACAAATTAAGTGGGACATTTCCAGTTTACAATCAGCTTATGTTGCCTTAAGTTTTCAAATCTAGTCCATTACTAAACTACAAATTTGTCCTTTGATTTCCAAGCAGCTCTTTCAAAATAAGGTTTGTTTACCAAATATCTCATTATTATGTTTATACTTCATTGTAATGTCATGTCAAATGAAAATTGCAAACTGCATTGTATAGTGGTACTACAATTCCTTCTAGAGGGTGCTCAATTCAAAAATAACACCTTCAAGTACAAGAGGAGTTCAAATAATAATTGAAGAAATGGGTATGCTTCTTTTCATTTATGAGCAAATTATCAAATCACAGACAACAAATTATCTTCAATTTGTCAGTTATTCGACCATGGTAAGACCATGGTTCCATTTAAAATTCTTGGCATACCATGGTTGTACCATGGTCATTTTATTGCCAAACCATGGTTAACAATGGTGCAATGGTTCTGAATGTGATTCACTCTAGCTACTTCTACTAATATCAAAGTATATCAATCTCCAATTAAACAGAACTATCAACATAATTTTTGATTTTCTTGAGTAAATGCAAACAGATGATAGCATCATAATAGGTGTACTAGCAATTATTCAATCAAGTTCTTTGTCATTTGCTCAGAAATCTAAATAATTTATTTACCCTGTTAAATGTCTTTTTAAGCAAATGAAGAAAAAACACAGATGTTTAAAACAGATGAAAATATTGGCGAAGATGGAATGATAGCGTATGTTTTTCTGTTTTAGGGAGTTTTACCCACCCACTTTTTAATTTGTAGAAATTTTGAAAAATATGGTCATTTGTCATTTGCTTTGTTTACCAAACCATTTTGTTCAAATGGATTCAGAAAGATGCATGTAAGAATTGATGATCCCTACCAATACTCAATTAGGATTCAAACAACATTTGGTACACTTTGGTTTTGTTCCCTTTTTGTTTCGTTGATTGGAATAGATAAGTATAGTTTTATCAGTGTATTTATTCATGACAAACAAGGGAATCAATATTATATTGGACAGTAAATAGTTCTTTGTTCAACTAACTTTATTCAACTTTATTTCATTGTGAATTATAAGCTCTCTCGTTGTCTACCCTTACTACCAAAATATGAGATAAAATATGGTTTCTGTTCAACACTGAATTTTAAGCCCAAAAACCATATTGTTATTTCTCAGAGCAACAGGTTAACATTCAATTTGATGGGTAAGTCTCTTTGTGGTATAGCGAACTCCAAGCTTATACACAAAATCTATTGCAGCATGTCTTCTGTTTATGGTGTGTAAAATGTAGAATTTTCTGTATTGTTTTTTATGTGTATTAGAAGACATTTTGGCAAATATCTTACATAGTATTTGTATATCCTTATTAAAGGTACAGAGCTCCAAAAATAAAAAGGCCAAAAAAAGATGAGACAACAAAGCAGCCAACATTGTCTGATAATATAATGGAAAACTTCAAAGCAAAGGCTGCAAACATTAATAAAAGATACGAAAAATACACAAATGATCCTGCTGCAGTAACAGGTTGGTTCAACGTTTAAAACAATGCAAGATCATACAGATTAGAAATAATAAAGAAAATCTTCATTCTGATGGAGCCCTGTATGAAAGGATACTATATTGTTTGGCTTTACTATATCCTTAGTGTCTAGGCTCTCTCGGCTAGATTCCATTTACAATTGATTGATCCCTGGCTATTTGTGTTGCTCTGACCTATGGGTTATTGTTCCCATGTTATTTTCATAAGGTTTGTGGAATTTTTGTAGACAGCCTTAAAAAGTATCCTCAATTTCAGGTTCAAATTGTTAAATTTCATAAGATGAAACCTCTACAAAATTTCAAGGAAGTTTTTTTCTGGTTATTTGTTGAAAAATTCATAAGTTATTTTACCCACACACAAAAAAATTATTTTTAAATAAAGAAATTCATGATTTTGAACTTTTAGCTAGGAGTTATTTTCTTCATTGTAATTTTTTCCAGAAATATGGTATGAGTTCAAAGATGGCGCATATCATCATTATGAAACAGGGAAACGACTCCTGAGCTATGTCAAACCATCAGAAAAATGGTTACAGGTTAGTTTCTGTTTTTTCAAATAGCTTTTGTATATTTGTTCTTTAAAATGTGGTCATGAGTTAAGTGTTTTGCAGTGCACAGTACTAACTGAATTTTTGTATCTTTTGCAAAGCTGGCTAGGCAAGCAATACTAGAAATAGGTAAATTGAACAGCAAGTTGTCTGTACATGATGTCTGTACGGCTATTCTCAAGGCAAACCATTCATTGGATGTAGTTTTTTTATAATACTTTGATACCTCCAACAAACTTTTGCTTTCATGTCATGTCCAAATTTTGGATTTAAATGGTTTTTTTACTAATTGGAACTTTTTTCATACAGCCTTTAACAATGTTTTTTAACTTTGTTCCTGTATAAACTTAAGTATTGCCCTGTATGTGGCTTTTGGTACAAATAACAGTCATCTTGAAGCATAATCTAACTTATCTGGAACCTCAAGACATTTCTGTAAGATACCAATGTTATGAACAGGCTTTCATTTTAGATGAACACCTTTTGCAAGCAACATTTTGAAGATGCAGTCAATTGGTTCAATGAAAAAAGTGGGAAATGAAAATATAGTTTGGTTTAAAGCCTTGTAATGTACATACTTATATCGTTATGTGTCTTGTTACTGAATGCTGCTATGCAGAATTTGAATAATGATGTATTGAAAATTTAATTTATTGGTAGACAGTAGTAGTGTGTGCCTGAAATAAAACATCGAAAGGCTGTTTATGTAACAATTAATTGCAGCATAGGAAACTGACTGTTTTTTTATATTAGTATTGGCATTAAAAAATTGCTATCCTCATTATCAGACATGATTAATACATATTTCATATCTATAATCTTCTGCAAACCTAAAATTGTTACAGTGCGGGTATTTCAATGTTCACATTCTTTCTCTAGAACCATTTTTTGGCTCTCCTGTCTGATAATTTTGGCGAATTAAAATCCAAGTACTTTTCAATCAAAAACTTTCGCTTCTTCTTTTCTCAATTTTATTTCCATATGTATCTTTCTTAATATCTTAGAGCAAATAAAATTAGCATGCTATCAGTGCAAGGGTAGCTTTCAGGGAAAACTCAATCAGCTGGATTTATCCTAAGTAAAGCTTTTGTCAGTTGATACAATACTATGCCAAACTAAACGCGATCCATGTCATAAAGAGAAAATCCACGCCAAAAGGAGAAAGAAAACACAGACCAATCAAAATCAAACGTGATTAATCGCAATCGCAATTTTGGCTGCCTTGCATGAATATGAGGATAACAGACCTGTGTAAAAAGGTTAGCATTCCTATGTGCTTCTGTGGATGTGTGTAGCAGGAAAGCAGATAATAGTTTATTTAAATTAAGAATAGGAAAACACAGAAATTAAGAAAAGGAAACAATGCAGCTAAATAAGCATTTATCAGCATCAAGTATCTAGTTTTAGTTGAAGGAACAAAAGTTGTTTGATGTCTTCCACAAGAAACAAATGACTTGGGGTCCACATAAAGCGTATTGAACTGTGCAAAAGTTACTGATGCTGATTTTATTTAGTCACATTTAGTAGAAGTTGCACAAGAAGGTATCATATTTGAATGCTTTGATATTTAACTGGCTGGCTGGGTCATTGAAAAGTTTCCTGGATGTCTGGAAAAGTTTTAAGAACTTGTAAACAAATAGTTATGATAACTAAAGTTGTTTTCCTTGAGTTTCTGTTATCACTTTTAACATGAGAATATGACAATGTTGTCATAAAATCAAAATTATAGCAATAATAAGTACAAGGTTAATAGAAATCCACTTCACTATGCTTTTTAATATTTGCCTTGCCTTAAGCAAATAAGCATCTTTCAAGGACAAAGGCCTCCTCAAAAGTACCCCCTCAAGTAAACCCTGGTTAATAAATTCATTTTTATGAATAAGCCCCTGGAGGTTTACTCAACACTTTATGATATATGTATACATCCTTTTTACCTAACAGGATAATTTTGTCATTGGATTGCAAAGGATTGCCAAGAAATAACAAAAAGATTTCTGTTCTGGATGCATAAATGAATGAGATTTTTTATTAAACACACTTCAACAAATAAACTTTATAGAATTGTTAACATTATTAACTCACTCAGGAAAAAAGCGATGTTAATTATATACATGCACATTTTTAACCTTATGTTTCAAGCAATTTTTATTTCATAGATGGAAAAAGTCTACTGAGACATGCCCTTGTAACTAAAATCCTCCACTAAATTTCTTTACTCATATGCTTAGTATATTAAAAAAGAATTTAAATAGCAAGACTAATTAGGCAGCAATAAAATATCAAGCAGATTGTGCCAACAGATTTGACAATATCCTCATATATTAGTTGGTAGAACTTTTTTTAGTAGGCTGATCAAGTACCATCATTTTCTTTATTTCACCAATGGCAAGGCCAGGATTGAGACCCTAGAAAAACAAAAAACTAGTGAAAAAGGGGCTTTTTCTTGATGAATATGTAACACTTTGATTGAGCTTAAACAAAACTAAAAACTGATGACAACAGGATTATGTGAAGTAGAAAAAAGTACTTGTGATCAAATTAAATCATTACATTTTCTGTCTATTTGTCTTTATTTTGCCAAAGTGTATATTTTCCTGTTTGTAGC